GATTGAGTGACAGGAGACCAAAAGTGAGCAGAGCCTTGGGAAGTGCCCAAGAAGGGTGGTGTGGTGTGGTGTGGTGTGGTGTGGTGTGGTGTGTGTGTGTGTGTGTGTGACAAAATAGACCCACAACACAAGCCAACTCAACCGAGACGCGTTTCATTCTCCCGACTAACTGCTCCTTTGCCTTTTCAGATGTACGCCAGCCCGCCGTCTGCTTGTCACGACGAAGCCGGGCTTCGAGGGAAAGAGTATGATTTTCCGCCACCAGTGAGACCGGGTAGAAGGCCCGATGTCAGGCCAGAGGGCGTTTACGACATCCCTCCAGCCGGCACCAAGCCAGCAGGGAAGGACCTTGCCGTAAAATACAACGGTGACACTCCAGGAGTCGCTGAGCTGGTGGCCCGAAGACATCAGAGCATATCCCAGAGTCAGGCGCCCCCACCGCCAGGACAGCCAGGGGGCCCCCTGAACGACGCATATGACATTCCCCGGGGAGTTCAGTTTCTGGACCCCCCAGCCGAATCCAGTGAGAAGGCGAATCCTGCAGAAAGGGATGGGGTTTATGATGTCCCTCTGCATCACCCGCCAGACACGAAAGTGCCTCAGGACGTGGTGGATGGAATGAATCGGCTGTCTTTCTCCAGTACCGGCAGTACCAGGAGTAACATGTCCACATCTTCCACCACTTCCAAGGAGTCCTCGCTGTCAGCCTCTCCGTCTCAGGAGAAAAGGCTCCTCCTGGACCCAGACATGGCCATTGAGAGGCTCCACCGGCTCCAGCAGAGCCTGGAGATGGGCGTCTGCACCCTCATGGCACTGGTCACCACCGACTGGCGGTGTTACGGATACATGGAGAGGCACATCAACGAGATACGCATGGCAGTGGAAAAGGTGGAGCTGTTCCTGAGGGAGTACCTCCTTTTTGCCAAGGGGGCTCTAGCGAATGCCTCCTGCCTCCCTGACCTCCTCCTGCACACCAAAATGAAGCGGGAGCTCCAGAGAGTGGAAGACTCCCACCAGATCCTCAGCCAAACCAGCCATGACTTAAATGAGTGCAGCTGGTCCCTGAACACCCTGGCCCTCAACAAGCCCCCAAACAAGTGCGATGACCTGGACAGGTTTGTGATGGTGGCCAAGACCCTGCCCGACGATGCCAAGCAGCTCACCACGACCATCAACACCAATGCAGAGGCCGTCTTCAGACCAGGCCCGGGCAGCTTGCAGCAGAAGAATGGGCCCGAGAGCATCACACACTCACCGGAGTACGCACCCAGTGGCACGGCGCAGGCCCACAGCAAGGCATTGCCTGCAAGCCTGGCCAAGGACCAGCCCCCTGACTGTGGCAGCAGCGATGGCTCGGAGAAGAGCTGGATGGATGACTATGATTATGTCCACCTACAGGTAAAGAAGCCACGCTCGCAAAACTAGACCTCCTCTCACAGTCGGGTTGCCTGGGGCTAACGACTACAGGGCTATACGGAAGGCGGAGCTCCCAGGGGAAAGAACAAGATGAATGCTCACTAAGTAGTTCGCCCCAATGGGGCCAATGACCCTTGGACTGAGAGCCCTGAAACCTGGGCTCCACACCTTATTTGGCATTGAGTGTGTGAACAAGGCTCTATTTCCTTACTCGTAAAGATGAGGTGGGATTAGATCCAGTTGATAGGCCTTAGGCAAAACAGGAAGAGACCTGACAAACAGGATAGTAGACCCTCTCATGTTTATACTGGCTCCACTTCTGTTTTGTAGTATTTCATGCCATAGTATACTTTATTGAAGAAGAAAAAAAGGTAGCACTGTTAGGGAAAAAAAAGTAGAGACCCTATAGATTAGAGAATTTCTAAGGTCCCCCTCTTGGGAGAAAGATGGGGCTGCCTGCTCTATAAAGATTTACAGTGTTGGAAACCCTAAGGAGCAGTTCTACTCTGTCCTGTAGGGTTGCCATGCGTCCGAATTGACTCTTGACAGTGGACTAAGACCTGTCTACTTTATTGCTTGTGTGTGTGTAACTATTTGCAGAGAAACTTCAGTCTCTCAACTTACATAGAGGTCCACTGAGTATTTTCCACGGCCTATAGTTGAACCTACATGTGGGAAATTGGACGGTCACGATCTACCTTCTACAAGAGAAAAATCCCAACAGGTTGACCAGGTGTCCTGGCAGCTTGCTTTTTTCACTTTAGAAGTTAAAATACTGTATTGTTGATTTCTGTTGAGTAGATTCTGACTCACAGCCACCTTCCGTAACAGAGGAAAACCGCCCCGTATGGCTTCCTGCACTGTAATCTTTACGGGAGCCAATTGCCAGATTTTCTTCTCCTGTGGAGTCACTGATATGTCTAACCAGCAGCCTTTCGGTTAACAGCTGCCCATTTAGCCATTGTGCAGCCAGGGCGCTGTAACATCCTGTGTCCTAGCCCAGACCAAAGCCAGTACCGTAAGTCAATTCCAATTCATCGCAGCCCCATAGAGAAAAGGTTTCCAAGACTGTGAATCTTTAAAGGAGCAAACTTCCTTATCTTGTTGCAGCTGGTGGGTTTAAACTACCAACCTTGCCCTCAGCAGCTCATAGCATAAAGCTCTATAGAAACCCACCGCCTTTGCTTCAATTCCCATTCATAGCAACCTTAGCTAGCAATCTTGATGGGAACAGACAAACTGTCCTTCCGCAAAGCATCACTTTATGATAAGCAGTCCCGTGCTGACCCAACAGCACCACCAGGGCTCCTTAAAACACTATTAAAAACGAATAAACTAACTCACTGTCACTGAGTCTATTCCAACTCATAGAGACCCTATAGTTCAGGGTAGAACTGACCCTGTGAATTCCCAAGACTATAACTCTTTACAGGAGTAGAACACCTCATCTTTCTCCTGTGGAGTGGCTGGTGGTTTCAAACTGCTGACCTTGCAGTTCACAGCCCAACTCATAACTATTATACCACCAGGGCTCCTCCTTAGAGATCCATTATTTAAATTTTGACCTGCTTTCCTATTCCATCATAGTTTTGTTTTGTTTTAAATTTTAACTGAGATCCATGGATCATATTGTGGAGTCTTAAAGTAACTTAAAACTCTTTGAGTGGAAGAGAGCAGACGTAGGAGGGAACGGTGAGCTACACTCAGTGCTGGAGAAAGGAGTGGGGAGTGAGTAGCTAGAGGTATTAAACCCTGACCTTGTTGATTGTCCAACTTTGCAGGTTGGGAAATGCCAATTTGGAGTAGAGGTCTATAGATAATTCAACAAAATTAGAAGTGATCGAGACCTGTGTTTGGCAGTTTATGGGTTCACATATAGTCTATTAGGACAGAACCCAGAGAACTAGTATTTTATAAAGATGGGTGGGGGAGTCATAGGTAGTTCAAGGTGGGTCAGAGAGCATGGCACCCCATGTGGAAAGTGGTTTTGGCTTTCAGCCTCCACCCACGCAGGCTGTGGACACCTGGCCGAGCAGGAGCACGCTCCCAGGGCAGGCGAGGAGTTGCCAGGGCAGTGGAAAATGAAAGCGTATTTACACGTTTGTCAATGAGATTGTTAGCATATGTGAGTCACAGTGGTGACGTAATGTTCTTTATGTTGAAAATTACTAGGGTAAGGAGGAGTTTGAGAGGCAACAGAAAGAGCTGTTGGAAAAAGAAAACATCATCAAACAGAACAAGGCGCAGCTGGAACATCATCAGGTATGCGCTCCAGACACGAACCACCTGGTGAGGAGCAGATCCCCACCCCCGCCCCACCCCACCCCCCACTTAGCAGGGACCTCATGTCAAAGGCTCCAGATTCTGAGCCTCCAGGACACTTTGGCATATAATAGGGTGCAGGAACAAACAGAAGGTTGATGGCCTTGTTAATTGGCTGAGTGGCACCGGATGACATTCAGACAGCAGTTTTTCCAGGCTGAGCCTGCACACCTAACATGTTAGGACCATTTGGATTCAGGCTGTGTTGGTTTCAAGGAGTAAGTTAGCCAAAGGTGAGTCAAGAACAGAAACGACCAGAGTCAAATCCGGGGAGAAGTAGGGCCGTGAGCTCGCCCTCCCTCGTGCCTCCTTTTCTGTACAAATTAACATCGTGCTTCCTTTTCTGTACAAATTAACAGCATGCCTCCTTTTCTGTACAAATTAACAGCATGCCTCCTTTTCTGTACAAATTAACAGCGTGCCTCCTTTTCTGTACAAATTAACATCGTGCTTCCTTTTCTGTACAAATTAACATCGTGCCTCCCTAATTTCTGACGGTTGCCTCCGTCCGCCTATTTATTTGGCTCCCTTATAACTTTACCTTCCACGGAATCCTAAAAGGGTATCCAAAACCTTTTCTGCCAGATGACTGGCCCTTTCAGCTTCCGTAGTGATAGCTCCTTTCTATGGGGCATCAACTTCCTGCAAAGGAGACCCTGTGGGGCTCTCTCTCTCTCCCTCTCCTCCTCACCCTCCCACCCCCTGCCCTCTACCCTATCCCCCTCTTTTTCTGTCCCCTCTCTCCCTCTCCAGAATATATGCTACACTACAGGAAGCCTACTTTCTAATCCCTGCTTCCTAGCTCTCTGACCTTAGGCACATCAGTTAATACCTCTGAACTTCAGGTACTTCTTTATAAAATAGAAAGTAACCAACTGCCCCCATGGAATGAGTTACTTCTGAATGTGTTTGCAGAAGGATCCAGTCCAGTTGGCATTGAGTTGACGTCGACTTATGGTGGCTCAACATGTGCCAAAGTAGAACTGTGCTCCATCCAGTTTTCAGTGGTTGACTTTTCAGAAGTAGATCGCCAGACCATTCTTCCGAGGCACCTCTGGTAGACTAGGACCTCCAACCTTTTGGTGACCAGCTGAGCACCAACCAGGGACTTCTGCAAAAGCATAAATTATATAACAATTGAATTCACTGTAATTACAAGGCCTTGGAAAATCACCCCATGTCTGCTTATTGGTGCCTTGACATTTGGCCAAACAAGAATACAGGATTTTAGATAACTTGTTGACACAATAGTAATTCCTCAGAAGAAAGCAGATTCCTTAGAAAAGGAGAGCTGAGTGGGCATTTTTCAGGGGAGAAGTAAGGATGAGAGATATCCCTGCTCTGACTCAGCCCAGCCTCAGAGCAAGGGATTGGCAGAGCCCCAAACTCAGGATATCCCTGACCTGCAAAAGAGAGCTCTCGCCTAAGGCATGGGTTAAGTCTGACACTGCCAGCCCTTCTTTCACCCACCCTGTGCACCAAATAGTAAGCTGCAGAGTTTGGATCCAGAATGTTTAGAGATACTCGTTACCCTAAGTGTTTTGTCCTTTCCTGTAGCATTAGAGTATTAAGGTGGGGGAAAAACTCAAACAGTTGATTTCTTAGAATTGCATCACCCCCCCACCCCCCAAGACCTCTCTTCCAAGGCACCCCTGCGTAGGCTTGCTCCATCATCTTTTCTCGGAGCAGTGAGAGTGCTAACCATTTTCACCATCCAGGGTCTCCATTGGATTAGAGTGTATCTAGAAAAGGGCCCATGGATGGGCATTTCGTCTAAGCATCTTGAAGAGGCTCAGTAAAGGCATTCTACAAGGAGGGAGAAACAGTCAGTGATGTACTTGACCGGAGTGATAGCTACATTTGGCTCACAATTTAATACACATCTACAGAGACTCTATGATATGCCACACATTATCCTCAACATTTAGGAACGTGAACTCATTTACTCTTCGTAAAGGTGCAGAAACCAGGGCTCAGGTGCTTAGTGATATACCATGCTGCCTTCCGGCGTGAACCCATCATAGTAGCACGGAGCTGGAATGATCCCTTGGTGGGGATTAGCTACTATTGAGTCAGCCCCTGACGCATAGCAATGATCCCTTGCACAACACGGTTGGACCGTGTGCCCCATGGGGTGTTCAGTGGCTGACTTTTCCAAAGGAGACTGCCAGGTCTTTCTTCTGCATCTAAATATTCCACCCAAACCTGCTCAACCTCATAGCAAAACCCAAGCTCTCTCTGGCGGGTGGTGGCGGTGCCCGGGGGGCCTCCCCTGGGAGTCGACCCTGGGTCTCCTGCCTAGGGGGCCCAAGGAGAGCAAGCTCACCTTCGCAGAGGAGCCTTGGAAGTCATCCTTCTCAGCCTCCATGTTCCAGCTTAGGGAAGTAGGGTCACTCAGCCAAGGCCTCACAATTCAGAAAGCCCGGCACCCATTAGGGATGCAACTCCATGCCTTTGAGCTCCAAAGAGCACTCCCACGACCCTACCTCGCCCTTCATGACTTCCCCCCTTCCTTGCAGCTAAGTCAGTTCCAGCTGCTGGAGCAGGAAATCACCAAGCCCGTGGAGAATGACATCTCCAAGTGGAAGCCTTCCAAGAGCCTGCCAGCGCCGAGCAGCGGCGTGGGCGCGCCCGATCGGCAGCTGCTCTGCTTCTACTACGACCAGTGCGAGACCCATTACATCTCCCTGCTCAACGCCATCGACGCCCTCTTCAGCTGCGTCAGCTCGGCGCAGCCCCCGCGGATCTTCGTGGCCCACAGCAAGTTCGTCATCCTCAGCGCGCACAAACTGGTCTTCATCGGAGACACGCTCACCAGGCAGCTGGCGGCCCCGGACATCCGCCACAAAGTCATGAACTCCAGCAACCAGCTGTGCGAACAGCTCAAGACGATCGTCCTGGCCACCAAGACGGCCGCCCTCCATTACCCCAGCACGACGGCGCTGCAGGAGATGGTGCATCAGGTGACAGACCTGTCCCGGAACGCGCAGCTCTTCAAGCGCTCCTTGCTGGAGATGGCCACGTTCTAGCGGGACAGCAGCCGGCTGAGGGCTTGGGCGCAAAACTGGAAATACTCTCTGGTTTTTGTAAAGGCTATCTATTTTTGTAGATGTTTTATATGAAATATTTTAAATACATTTTATGGATGAGACCACATTCAGGGAGATGGAAGACGGAATTTTTTTTCCTGTTGGGTTCCTGTGTATACATCTAAGGTATAAACTGTACAGAAACGTATCCGTGTGCCTTTGTATGCCTGTGTATTCGTGTTTGTAGATGTTTTTCTCATACATTCCATTAAAAAAAAACATGAATTAAGAAGCACCTTAGTAAACGCCTCTAAATGCTGCATATTTGTTAGAAGCAGACCAGCTGGGGGTGAGGCTGTCTGAGGTAAACTTAAGGTTATCCTGAACTGTCCACTCCCAAGGCCAGGAAGCAGAGAAGATGTGTTTGACCAATGCTCCTTCTGCTCCCCCCAAAAGCAAGGCATGGGCGTGACTTGTTCTCGTCCTAAAGCCCCTTTCCAAATGGATGGACTTGAACATATTACGGCCAGATGTCCCCGCTTGCCCTTGGGAAAGCCATCGTCAGGTTACAGAAAGTCAATGTTAACATCAGATCTGATGGTTTAGGTGCTGGAGAGAGGAGAGACGTGTGTGGGGAGGCCATGTCCGTGGTTAGAGTTAAGGTGATTCAACGCTGACAGGAGCCATAATAAAATGAGAGCATGTGTTTCCTTGTGACGATTTGGTCTTGTGTATTTGTGAGCCCTGAGGTTTCCAAAGGACGTTTGTAGATTTTGTTGATTATTTGTAGCAGGAATGGATAGAGACACCTCAGACTGATTATCTGCAATAAGGAGCAACGGGTCCATCTGCAGACCTCTTTCTGGATCTCAACATTCACACGGTGCTAGAACTCCCATGACTTGAGGGCAAACGCCAGTTCTTTGGTCTTCTGAATGTTGAGAACCACCAGGCCACATTCTATAAAGAGAATTTATTGCTTCATCTTGCACCTGCCCCAAGACTCATGTTGTCCCTGTGCTCTGAGCAGCTACACAGAATCCATTTGATCTTCCAACTCTGTCTGGCCGGTGACTTTGCATTTACAACCCCCTGCCCCAATCTCAACACCAGGTAACATCTGTCCATAGTCCACTTCCTTGCCAGGACAGAATGACATGGTTCCCACCTAGTGGGCTTATATCATCACGTCAAAAGGTATGTTAGCGATGGTATTTCAGTCCAGTTCGTATTTGATGGTTTTATTTTAGCCTGTTTGCAAACATGTTTTGTTTTGTTTGTTTGTTTTTCTAATTAAAATATTTTATTGGGGGATCTTACAATTCTTATAACAATCCATACATGAATACATCAATTATATCAGGCATATTTGTACGTATGTTGCCATCATTCTTTTCTAGACATTTACTTTCTATTGAGCCCTTGGTATCAGCTCCTCTTTTATCCCCCCCCCACACCCTCGTGACCCCTTGATAGATTATAAATTATTATTTTAATCATATCTCACACCAACCAGTCTCCCTCCCCCCATGGTTTCTGTTGTTCGTCCCCCCGGAGGGTGTGTGTGTGTGGTTATGTGTCAGTCATTGTGATCGGATCCCCCTTTTTCCCTCCCCTCACCCCCTGCCCCCTACCCTCCTGGTATCGCTATTCCCACTCCTGTTCCTGGGTTCTGTGTGTCGTGCGCTTTTATGTCTGCAAACATGTTTTTTTACATTGCAATATATGCCTCGACTGAATTTAGTGTTCTTGTTTTCAACCTCAGTCACTCTGAGTCAGGGGGGATGTTGGGCAACCAAGGTATTAGAACAGGGAAGAATTGAAGGAATAATGCACAATCACAGAGTGGCTAAGAAAAGAACATTTTTAATCAGCAGAATTTATAAAAGGTGCTTTTTAAACAACTGCTATTGTAATTTCTCAAAGTTCTGCTCTTCCAGAATGACAGTGACATGGCAAGGGTGTGGGGCAGAAGGGAGCTGCTGAAAATCAACATCTACCAAAACAAATTAAAAATCTGTCCTTATGATTTTTTTTTGGTATGCTATGTATTAGGAGATGACACACCTATTCTAAGCTAAGTGGTGACATGTCAAGTTTTCAAAATAAAAATGTTGACTGTCTGACTCTGCCATCCTGTATGTAGAAGCTATTTTTTAAATCATTAAAAACATCTTTTTTGATAGCCACTGGATTTCCTTTTCTGTATTCCTCTCTCTCACAGAAATAACTCTTAGTTTGGTACTTTCAGTGTAGAAAGTTAAATGATGCTTGTCATTAATCATATAAAAGAAACAAGGCATTTTTTTAATCGTTTTATTAGGGGCTCATATGACTCATCACAATCCATACATACATCAATTGTGTAAAGCACATTTGTACATTCATTGCCCTCATCATTCTCAAAACATTTGCTCTCCACTTAAGCCCCCGGCATCAGGTCCTCATTTTTCCCCTCCCTCCCCGCTCCACCCTCCCTTATGAGCCCTTGATAATTTATAAATTATTATTTTGTCATATCTTGCCCTGTCCGACGTCTCCCTTCACCCACTTTTCTGTTGTCCGTCCCCCAGGGAGGAGGTCACATAGATCCTTGTAATTGGTTCCCTCTTTCCAATGCACTCCCTCTACCCTCCCAGTATCACCACTCACACCACTGGTCCTGAAAGGATCATCCACCCTGGATTCCCTGTGTTTTCAGTTCCTATCTGTACCAGTGTACATCCTCTGGTCAACCAGACTGAAACAAGGCATTTTTAAGTGTTTGGGTTTTTTTCTTAATTTGGGGGGTCACTTCCTAATGTATTTGCATTTCAAGAAAATGCTGGCATTTAAAGCTGTTCCCAAGCGTAAATATGTTGAACAGGGCTTCTCTTCACCAGAAAGCCTATTTAGGTTCCGGTAGTGGCATAATATGGATGTAACTATTCATGTGGCTTTAAAGTCCAAGGAAATTATTCCACTTACAGACATAAGGCTATAATTAAAAGGCAAACTATTTAATGAAAGTGTGAAATGCATAACCATGCAAATTATCGTGTTTAACCCTTGGTTAAGTTTTTCTAGTATTCTATTGGGTTTTATGGGCATAATATTTGAATATAACTTGTATCATTTTGCTCACTCATAATAATTTTTAAAAATCTTACTGCCACTGAGTCTGTTCAGACTCACTGTGACCCTATACGGCAGAGTAGAACTGCCCCCAGTGGGGCTTTGAGGCTGCTGATCTTTAGGGAGCAGAAAACCTGATCTTTCTCCTAAAAAGTGGCTAATAGTTTTGAGCTGCTGAGCTGCAATTAACAGCCCAACTGGCAACCCCCCACATCTCCAGGGCTCTGTTTGACCTTCAGCAAAAGGATCAAGGCAATTTAAAGGGACATGAAACGTTGTCTGGAATAAATGATGCTGGAATAACTAGATACCTCTATGGGAAAAGAAATTAACATCGGTTTTTACTTCCTATCCTAAACAAAAATCACACAGACTATACTGTAAAACTTAAACTGTCTAGAACAAAACATGAAATCTTTGTAATTATGGTAGACCACAGTTTTTTAGATTAAAAAGAAAAAAACAGAAGGGGAAGCCAAAATGCCTGGCTGTTAAGGTTCCAGTTCATCCTTTCATGGGTTGATCCCAAGTAAAGTCTGTTGAAACACATGCCACTCATCAGTGGATGGCTGCAGACACCTTCTGTCAGTAATACACTGTTGTGGTCTCATGAGGATGCCTTCAAAGAAAAGGATACTTTTTGTGCCATTTAAAACAAATTATTTTGAGGTCAGGGCTAATATAAAATGTTTAATATAAATCGTTTAAAAACTCAAACATCTTCCCAAATCACTGAAGCTTTGCAACAAACTTACAGGAATGCTGTCCCATATGAAACATTTTAAGGAAGGCCTAGAAGGCCCACGAGAAATAAAAAGCGTCGGTCAACACAAAGACGTGCAGAAGAATGGTGACAGCAGCTTTACTCGTGATCGCCCCAAACTGGAAGCGACCTGACTGTCCACCAATGTGAATGAATCCATCATTGTGGTATGTCCACAAAAGGAGCTAATAGGAGTTTTTCAAATTGTTTATACAAAAACTAAAACAATTAATCTCAGATTCATATGCTTGGTCAAAGAGCCAGACGCCACCCCCACCCCCCTAAGCCCCCCAAAAAGGCACACTGGATATTTCCGCTTCTAAAAATGTTTGGAAATGGAAATTAGTCTCAAGGAGCAGAAATCAAATTCATGGTTGCCCAGGGATAAGAGTGATACAGGGCACTGGGCTGCTAACCACAGGTCAGCAGGTCAACTCCACCAGCCAGGCCGAAGAAGAAAGGATGGGGTTTTCTGTTCCCTAACAGTTCAAGTCTTGGAGCCCCACAGGACACTTCCATCTTGCCCCATCCGCTTGCTCTAAGTCAGCATTGGCCAATGGTAGTGCCGGTGAGGTAGAAGAAGGGTGGATTTCAGGGAAGCACAAGGAAACTTCTAGGGGTGAAGGAAAGGTCTCTTTTCTTGATTGTTTTCACAGTGTCAAAATTGCACACTGGAAGTATGTGCAGTTCATTTGGAGTCACTTGTAATAAAGGATTATTGTCCTTTTTTTCCCCTTTTTCTTTTGAAGCAAGTGATCTAAACTCTCCAAGTGAAAGTCAGAGATTCTCAGACTGTCTCAAAAGGAAGGCCCAACTCTATGCTATTGAAAAGACACTTAAAGGAACCTAGATAAGGAAAGAATGAAATGTACCAATTGCATTGTAATAAACATTAAAAGCTGGAGTGGCAATTTTAGTATTACACATGGTAGAATTCAGAGACAAATAGGGACGTGTCATGATAAACGGATCAACTCATAAAGAAACCAAGGCCATCCCAAATACACCTGCATCCAATCATGGAGTTTCAAAGTCCATGAAGCAAAACTGATAGAACTGAAAGAAGAAGTGTATAAATGTATAGTAATAAGTGGCTATCTTGATGCTCAGATAGCGGGAGGAAACACTGCCTGGTGCTGCACCAGCTTCACCATTGTACTTATGTTTGAGCCATCGATGCAGACACTGTATCAAGTCATCTTGTCAAAAGTCTTCCTCTGTCTCACTGGCCCTCCATTTTACAAAGCTCAGCGTCCTTCTCCAGGGACTGGTCTCCCTTGTCCCCGCGTCCAAAATACAAGAGAAGACATGCCATCATCTTGTCTCTAAGGAGCATTCTGGCTGTACTTCTTCCAAGACAGACTTGTCTGTTCTTTCTGCAGCTCGGGGTACTTCGAATATTCTCTGCCAGCGCACAATTCAC